GAATGTACAGCACCTGCCAATACTTCGAAAGGAAATTAGCTAACTTTTGGTAAAACCAGAATAAGCAAAATCACAAAAGCCCCAAACGTTAATCAAACAGATGTAAATTTCTGGCGGGCAATAACAAAGCTTCCAGAGCAGACCTGGAAGGTAGCACTGTGCATTTAATGAAAAGGATCCCAAAAACTTTCCCTTTCAGACTGGGCAATAAACTCATTATTCCCCAAGCGAGTGTGAAAAGGCAAAATGAAAGGCTAGAGAATGGATTCACTTGTTTTAAAAAAATAAATACATGATGGGGAGGGGGACGAGGGTAGAATAGTATTTCCATAATCTCAAGCAAGGGATGAAAATCTTACCCTGCAAGCAGAGTTATAGCATATATGTTTCTCTTTCTTGGGAAAGTTTTACAGTGTTCCCAGTAACTTCTCTGAGTATGCAGGCAACACAGCCAAGCGGTGAGTGTTGTGTAACATGCTCTGGAGTGATTCCACTGAATGATCTTATCTTCTATAAGTATGGCTAGGTTATATGATCAACCAGGGACCATCTTCTCTTCAAACAAGCCACCCTTCATGCGGCTTTCAGGCAGTGTCCATTTTCTGATTTCTTCAGCCAGCTGTCATCATGTGCTCTTGTTCTGAGATGGGTCACTAAGAGATAGCCTTAGGAATGGCAGGGTCCACAGCGTAATTTATCGATTTCTTTATTATATTCCATTTTAATTCCATGAAAACATGCATTGGGTTCCCAAGAGGTATCCCACAACTACATAAAGCATACCACTATTTCACAAAACTGTTTTTAGTGGTGCATTTTAAATTGCTGTAACACACTTTGGGACCTTCTGATAAAGAGCAGTACAGTGGTGCCTCGGGTTAAGTACTTAATTCGTTCCGGAGGTCCGTTCTTAACCTGAAACTGTTCTTAACCTGAAGCACCACTTTAGCTAATGGGGCCTCCCGCTGCTGCTGCTGCACCGCCATGCGATTTCAGTTCTTAACCCGAGGTACTATTTCTGGGTTAGCGGAGTCTGTAACCTGGAGCATATGTAACCTGAAGCATATGTAACTCGAGGTACCACTGTAATAAATATAAGAACAACAATAACAGCATCTAGACCAAACTGCTTAGCTTTGGCACAATTGTAGCATCATGTATCTCCAGACCATGCCCTAGGACAACATGAGGTAATGGCTTATAGATTGCTCTCACGTAGTTGCTACCAGGAACTGCTGTTTGTTAAAGGCACAGAGCAATCTTGCAAAACTACATTCCCCAGTATCTCTTGGCAAAAGCCACTCCAGTTAACCCAGTTTTAAAGCCATTGACAGTTGCAGTGCAGATGTGCACTCAGGGTGTGTGAGACCTATTGCAAGCATTTCTCATGGTGTGTACAAGCTGCTTTAGGCCCAACCACATTGGAAACATCTGTAATAAAAGCTTGAAACTATTGATTCCCAAACAGCTACATTGCCTTGCCGTGCTGCAGTTTAGTAAGACAAATAATTAAAAGTATCTGAAGAGCTGGAATAGGCTCAGTTCCAGGCAGGGCCTTCTGGAAATCTGGCTAGGATCAGGAAGCAGATAAGGGAAATGATGTGTCTTACCTTGCAAGAGGACAGCCCTCTATTTCAAGGACCACCAGAGAACAACCTTTTATTTGAAGGAGACCTCCATTTGAGGAGGTGTCTTGTCCAAGCCCTGTATAAAGATCCCTGAAATGGGATAATAGGGCTTTGAAGTTGCTCATCAAGTGTCAACATCTGAACAGTGGACTGAATGGGTCTCCTGGTCAAAGTGTCACCCACTATGGTGAGATGTGCTGCATTTCTACTCAAATGATAGTAATCTGAATTTGCATCTATATATAGATTAGCATATGCAATTTTAATGCAAAATTTTGTCCTCTTTTATGGCGATGTGTTTCTTCTTATATACCGATGTGTAAGTGTCTATCCGAGAGCAGATCCATCATAAATACCACAGTCTGAAGATATGTGTGTTGACTATGATTACTGCCAGGTAAGAGTAGTGCCATATATAATTGCACGCCCTGTGAATTCACTGGGTTACTCTGACTTGCTACTCCATGAAAACAAGAGCCATGAGGGATTTTTCTTCATCCAGGAACCTCAAGTTTCCTAAATTATCATGAGCAAAACTAGCTTCTCCCTCATCAGATTCCTCCATAAAACTCCAATCCTTTCCCTGCCTTCTGTCCCCCTTTTTTTATTTGGATTACAAACTTGTCCAACACATAATGATTTACTTTGGGACACACCATGCCAGAAAGAGAAAGGACAGATCTAAATTTACTTGCCATTCTAATTTCCAAACAGACTCATTTCCTGCTGTTCCTTTTGTTTTTTATTTCCCTCATTGTGCTCACATTCTGACTCAGAAGAACACGTTTCCATGCACTGTCAGTTTGGTTGGGGGACGATTCTTAGTTGCTGATGAAGCCTCCGCAGATCTTGCTATTTATATAAGTGAATTCCTTAATTTCATACCCAAGATCTGACCTGAGAGATCAAATGCCAAGATAATACCCTTCAGTGTAGTGGAGGTATCCTGCACTCCCCCTCAAAACCTGCACTCAGAAGGATTCATACCAAATTGCACACATTTACTTTTAATAATGTATTCTTTCTTTAAGCACTAACTGAGTCTGGGCAGAGTATTTTGGCAAGGTGGTAAAGCAGACGGTGGTTGGGGTGCGTAGGCCAATGTGAAGAAACAGCAGGAGGAGAAGTAATTAAAAACAGAAGCTTACAAAAAAAAAAACCCCAACCACTTCTTATCCTCAATTAGTAGGAGATGCACTCATGAACTTTCTACAGATGCTACCTGAACATTTTGAATTCTTTCTCTGTAACCATGAGGGCTAGAAACTTGCCGTGTGCAATTCCCCACTCCCTTATAGTCCATCTATGATTACAGGTCAGTGGGAAAGCACCAGAACATTTCTATAGCTATGAAGGTTCTAATGATACAAGCTTGGAGCAGTCTTTCTAGTAGATGAGTGACATTGCTTGCTAATCTCAAGGATCAAAATAAGTATGAAAATGCATAGAATCACAGAATTGTAGAGTTGGAAGGGACCCCCCCAGCAAAGCTGAAGCTAGATCATACATGACAGATGGCCATCTAAAACTCTTCTTAAAAACCTCCAAGGAAGGAGAGTCCACCACCTCTTGTGAAAATCCTTCCCACTGTCAAAATAGCTCTTACTGTCAGAAAGTTCTTCCTGATGTTTATGGTAGTTGGAATCTCTCTTCTTGTAGCTTGAATCCATTGGTTTGGGGCCTGGCCCCTGGAGCAGGAGAAAACAAGCTTGCTCCACCTAAACAGCTGCTTAGATATTTGGCTATCATGAAGATGTCCTATCAACTTCACACTGACATCCTGAAATGTACTCAACACATCAGAGCAAATTTAGTGTCCCCCATCTGATATTTGTGCAGCTGGTTGTTCCTATCTAAGTGTAGAATCTTACATTTTTCCCTATTGAAATTCACTTCCCCAATCGGTTAAGGCAATCCCGATTCTCTCTTCTGCACCATTGGCTACCCCTCTCAGTTTGATGAGCAACCCCTCAATTCCTTCATCCATGTCATTGATAAAGATGTTGAACAACAATGGGCCTAGGACAGGACCCTGCAGCACCCCACTTGTCACTTTCCCCCCAGGATGACAAGGAACTATTCTTGAGCACACTCCTTGAGTTCGGTCAGTCAACCAGCTACAAATCCACCTAGCAGTAAACCTACTCCAGTCCACATTATACCAGCTTTTCCGCAAGAATACAACGGGGGAACTTTGTCAAAAGCCTTATTTGGGGTGGGGAGGTGTACTTTGAGCATATTTTAAAAATATGCAAATTTTCATGGATTCCTAGTGAAATAGGACAAGAAGACACATGTAAAAGGGACATAGACCGATTCACCAACCCCTGACTATTGCTCTTCTAGTGATTCTTCCTGTGCTTGCATTGTGCTTGCTTATGTGCTGGAACTGCATTGTTTCAATATTTTATTTTGTATTTATTTATTGGATTTGTATACCACCCCTTATCTGATGATCACAGGGTGGTTCACAATATAAAAACAGGGTTGCACGAAAGTAAGACTTGAAGGCAGCAATGCTTCTGAATGTTGCTGGAAACCACTTGAGAGGAGAGCGTTCTTGTGATTGAATCCTGCCTGCTGGTTCCCACAGGCATCTGGTTGGCCACTGTGAGAACAGGATGCTGGATTAGATAGGCCATTGGCCTGACCCAGCAGGCTCTTCTTATGTGCAAGCCTAACCCAGGGACTAGGACGTTGCCTCCTTGGAAGCCTCAGGCTCCTGCAAGACCTATCCATTTAACACCTATAGCCCTTTTGAAATAGAGACCGGCTCATCTGTATTATTGCTATTGCTTCTATAAATGGGGGTGGAGGAAGCGATGAAAATGTCTCAGTGTGGCCTGTGAAACCAAACAGGCAGAATCAAATGACAGTTTTAGAGCTGGTCATGTTGGATGCCTGGAGTGGCTGGAGTTCAGCAAAGCCACGGGGGCCATCTATTTTATCATCTGCTATGTTTGCCTGCTTTTCACAGCCTGCCCCAGGATGCCAGTGGAGCGTTTGGGGTTGGACAAACATTGTCCAGTTCTGGCACCGTTTTTCAACTTTACTGCTATGGGACTATGAGGGATTATAAACATTTTGAGTTTTCCCTTATGTGCCGTGACCTCCTTAACGACAACAATAAATCACTGCTTTTGACTTTTAAGGAATTCTTTCCCTGCTTATAGCTTATTGCGGAAAGACTGAATAAAACTCAGGGAATAAAGCAAATGCTTACTTAGGAGAACCTGTGGTATTTAAGTCTCAGGAGAATAGGAAGCTGCTTTATACGGAATCAGACCCGTTATTCCACCCATCTCTGTATCACCTGCACTGACTGGCAGTGGCTCTTTCGGGTTGCAGGCACAGGCCTCTCTCAGTCCTACCTGGAGATACTGGGAACTGAACCTGGGACCTTCTGCATGCAAGACAAATGCTCTACCACTGAGCCACAGCCACTTTCTTTTTCGTCATATAGTGTATCCCTCTCTTGGCCTTTATGAATTATTTGTTCCTACTTCAATTGGGCTAGAATCACGAGTTAATAGCCTTCTAATTTTGCTGCCATATAATATGAATTCTGCAATTTGTAGCAATTTTCTATGTGTTGTAAACCAGGGACTTTCTTTGAGTTAATTTGCAGACTTTGCACAGTTGTTTTATATAGGGTGGTACCTCGGGTTAAGTACTTAATTCATTCCGGAGGTCTGTTCTTAACCTGAAACTGTTCTTAACCTGAAGCACCACTTTAGCTAATGGGGCCTCCCGCTGCTGCTGCGCCGCCGGAGCACGATTTCTGTTCTCATCCTGAAGCAAAGTTCTTAACCTGAGGTACTATTTCTGGGTTAGCAGAGTCTGTAACCTGAACCATATGTAACCTGAAGCATCTGTAACCCAAGGTACTACTGTATATAAAAACAAAATCCTACTGAGTATAGGGTTCCTTTGTGGCAAGGAGGAAAGGCACTTTTGGGATACCAGAATACTATCGGGTTGTTGTTGTTTAGTCGTTTAGTCGTGTCCGACTCTTCGTGACCCCATGGACCAGAGCACGCCAGGCCCTCCTGTCTCCCACTGCCTCCCACAGTTTGGTCAGACTCATGTTTGTAGCTTCGAGAACACTATCCAACCATCTCGTCCTCTGTCGTCCCCTTCTCCTTGTGCCCTCAATCTTTCCCAACATCAGGATCTTTTCCAGGGAGTCTTCTCTTCTCATGAGGTGGCCAAAGTATTGGAGCCTCAGCTTCACGATCTGTCCTTCCAGTGAGAACTCAGGGCTGATTTCCTTAAGAATGGATACGTTTGATCTTCTTGCAGTCCATGGGACTCTCAAGAGTCTCCTCCAGCACCATAATTCAAAAGCATCAATTCTTCGGCGATCAGCCTTCTTTATGGTCCAGCTCTCGCTTCCATACATCACTACTGGGAAAACCATGGCTTTTACAATACGGACCTTTGTTGGCAAGGTGATGTCTCTGCTTTTTAAGATGTTGTATAGGTTTGCCATCGCCTTTCTCCCAAGGAGCAGGCGTCTTTTAATTTCGTGGCTGCTGTCACCATCTGCAGTGATCATGGAGCCCAAGAAAGTAAAATCTCTCACTGCCTCCATTTCTTCCCCTTCTATTTGCCAGGAGGTGATGGGCCCAGTGGCCATGATCTTCGTTTTTTTGATGTTGAGCTTCAGGCCATATTTTGCACTCTCCTCTCTCACCCTCATTAAAAGGTTCTTTAATTCCTCCTCACTTTCTGCCATCAAGGTTGTGTCATCTGCATAGCTGAGGTTGTTGATATTTCTTCTGTCGATCTTAATTCCGGCTTGGGATTCATCCAGCCCAGCCTTTTGCATGATGAATTCTGCATATAAGTTAAATAAGCAGGGAGACAATATACAGCCTTGCCGTACTCCTTTCCCAATTTTGAACCAATCAGTTGTTCCATATCCAGTTCTAACTGTAGCTTCTTGTCCCACATAGAGATTTCTCAGGAGACAGATGAGGTGATCAGGCACTCCCATTTCTTTAAGAACTTGCCATAGTTTGCTGTGGTCGACACAGTCAAAGGCTTTTGCATAGTCAATGAAGCAGAAGTAGATGTCTTTCTGGAACTCTCTAGCTTTCTCCATAATCCAGCGCATGTTTGCAATTTGGTCTCTGGTTCCTCTGCCCCTTCGAAATCCAGCTTGCACTTCTGGGAGTTCTCGGTCCACATACTGCTTAAGCCTGCCTTGTAGAATTTTAAGCATAACCTTGCTAGCGTGTGAAATGAGTGCAATTGTGCGGTAGTTGGAGCATTCTTTGGCACTGCCCTTCTTTGGGATTGGGATGTAGACTGATCTTCTCCAATCCTCTGGCCACTGCTGAGTTTTCCAAATTTGCTGGCATATTGGTGGTGGGTTGCAGCTCTCATCCGACCTGGTCAATGTGGTCAGTACTCAGGGATTGTGAGAGTTGTAATCCAGCAACATCTGAAAGGCCACAGGTTAGTCACCTCTGTTATAGGGATAGGGGTGTCCAAGGAAGGACAGGAAGTGTGTAGAATGAAGACTTACACTCTAGCCAAGAACTCACCCATATAATCTCTGGTATATCCCCCCCCCTTTTTAAAAAGCATCCTACCTGCAAACTTTTAAGATTTTCTCTATGGAGATCTAACAGCTGACTTGCAGTTTGTTGCATTATGTACCAAGACTGCATCCTTGCAGTTAGAGTGAACGTTAAAGTGCTTATAAAACAATAAAATGAAATCAATCAGGATAGGAAATAAAAAGATGTGTTTTTTAAAAAGGCAATGGAAATATATAGTTAAGGGTCCTCTGAACCATACACTAGATCAGGAATTGGGAACCTATGGTCCTCCAACTCTCATCTGCTGGAGCCAGTATAGCCAATCGATGGAGATGATGGAAGCTGTAGTCCAACAGCATGTGTAGAGCCACAGATTGCACATGTGGGATTGAAAGCTCCAGGGCATCCAGTGCCTCATACTCAATATAAAATGTTCTGGATCGATTAATCAGCCAGAATAAATATGTCAGTTGGTTCCATCCAATAATTTATTTAGACTATAATTCACATGTCAGTCTGAAGCGTCAGCTGAAAGTGATGGAAGCACAGCATCTCTTTGGGCTTATTCACAATTCCCCTCGCTCCACTCCTTTCCCTTGGGGAAACCCATTCTTTGGTGTTCAGTTGGTGCAAAAGGCAATTCAGGTTTTCTTAGGATTGCTCTAAAGAGAGGGTTTTCCCTGGGAAAGGAGCAGGGCAGGAGGGATATTGCTCAGACCTGTGCCTGGAAAACTCAGGTCAAGTGTGAAACAGCTTAGACCCCATGCTTTCTAGGCATAGGACAAGCAGAAGTGTGGATGAGCCCTTCATCAACACTCTTGAGAGGCTAGCTGAAGAATGTCAATAAGTAACTAACGTGCAATAAGTTTTATTATCTCTAAGTAAACATCATCTGATCAGGCTGCACATCTTGCAGACAGAATATACTATGTAAATTATGAAAAAGGCTTTTACATTCTGCATTAATTATTATGCCTCGAGAGGCATGATTTTCCAGTGTTTGCCACTGCTTGGCTGATGTGGACATCGTAAAGAACATTTTGAGACAAAGAGGGGCTGTGGCTAGGCGAAGTCTCGTGGTCAAGGCTATCTTGAGGGAAGAGCTGTAAATCATAGACTACTGTCATTGTGTTCTGCATGATAACACTTTATCTGGTGTTTACTAGAACTGTGTTGTGTTCAGCATATTCTCCCAGTCCCAGGGCACTTTTTGTTTCTTTGTTTCATACTTTTAAGGAGAGTTAGTCAATAGGTTTTTTTGTGTGTTTTTGTTTGTTTTTTTGCTTTCCTGTTCAGAGTGCATCTGACCACCCAAGAACAGAGTGATTCTGCAAACCGATCTTCTTCTAAATTTCTGCTGGTGGGTTTTCCCTGTGACAGAAGAGGGGGAAATTAGCTGGGGATAAAATCAAATGGGTTCTAGAAGCTTCTCTTCTTGTGCAGCATGTTCTTTTCTCAAGGCTTCTAGGAACAACTGCATGACATTGATATCACCAGTCTCTGCTTGCACCCAGAAGCCTCCAATTGGATACAACCTGTGTAGATCACTGGTAGGGAAGCGGGTGGCGCTGTAGTCTAAACCACTGAGCCTCTTTGGCTTGCTGATTGGAAGGTTGGCGGTTTGAATCCGTGCAACGGGGTGAGCTCCCATTGATTTGTCCCAGCTTCTGCCAACCTAGCAGTTCGGAAAAGCATACCAGTGCAAATAGATAAATAGGTATCGCTGCAGCAGGAAGGTAAATGGCATTTCTGTGCTCTCTGGCATTCATCACGGTCCTCTGCGTGCCAGTAGTGGTTTAATCATGCTGGTCACATGGCCCGGAAAGCTGTCTGGGGTCCTTTACCTTTTAGATCACTGGTATCGATCAGGCAGTTCCTCTCACTCTTGAAGAGGCAAAAAGAGTAAAAGCAACAGGGGAAGGATTGAATGATTCTTTGAAGCAGAGCTGGCCCAGCCATTAGACAGGGTGAGTTTGCTGCCTCAGATAGCAGAAGCCCCCCACGCAGCATGCCCAAGGGTGACCCACCTGCTCCACTGCCTCCACCAGTGGCAGAAAAGCGCCACTACCATTGTTGCCAATTTTTAGCAAGATCGCATCCATTTTGGGATTAAAATCTACCTTCGGATTGCCTGAGATATGTTATCCTTTGTCTGGAGACCTTCCTTCTATTTTTATAATTCTGTGGGTGATCAAGAGTCACACAGCCAACAGCACACAGGAAGCCCGCATTATCACAGCAGAACCAATGGTGGGCACACACAAGAGGCCAGACCTCACAGAGCTACCAAATAAAAACAGACAAACAGCACTAAATCAGAATTTCTAGCTTTGTAAGCTTGCTTTAGGAAAACAGAAGTCATTTGAACAGCTGCTGGATGGGGCCTACCTCAACTCTAGGCAAACATGGGGATGAGGGGATAGAATTATTGGGCAAGAGGATATGGGCATAGGAAGGATATCTTGGGGATGCTAACTTGTAGCATAAATATAGAAAGCTCCCAGCAGCTGCCAATGTTGTTTCTAACTCTGGAACAATTCCAAAGGCAACATGTAGAATTGGAAAGACCCAAGAACAACAAGTGTTAAAGCTATCCAACCTGTAATGATGGCTGAACTGTGGGCGAAGAGGCTGCAAAGGTTCGGAACCATTTAAAGGATGCAGATAAGGTGACTGGGGGAGTGGGGAGAATATCAGAAAATAGTTGTTAATGGCAGAAGCAAAAGAAACCCCAAGGCATAGGATGGGGGAACTGTTGTGGACAGATGTGCATTAGTGGCCTTGTGTGGTGAGTCAGGACCATGAAGCCACCTTCCCGAAACCAGCATCATTGCCATTTATCTGGCAGAAGCAAGTTGGAGATGAAGCACAGTGGGAAGTGGAAGAGGTGGG